CACATGGATCAAGTTGTGGTGTCATGTTCTGTTCCAACTGATCGAGTCAAAGGTTTTTCAAGCCACTCTTTGTCCTCATCACATGGTTGACCCAAAAAGCGCAGAACACAACCCAGTTTGGGGCATCGTGATGCAAGGTTGTGGAACACTGAATCCCTTTGCCCAAGGAACTGAGTCAAACGATCGCTGACACATTTTCCATCCCTGTGGTCCATTTTCAGCTCGGTAAGGAAGGCAGCAAATCTCTCGTAGCTAACCTCCATGCGCTTCTTCAAGGGCTCCAGGGCAGAATGCAACCTCGGAAGAGAATTGGGAGCGAATCTTTGCATACATAGGTGGGCGCATGGAGTGGTAGGATTTATAAAAACCTTCTTGAACCAAAAGACTTGTGGGCAACATCTTGGGATTGTTGCGACAGCTTTCCCAGCATCTTTTCCACAACCTGTTGTTTTTTCTCCAACTGCTGCATGTAATTCTCCAAGTCGTGGACAGGCTGGCCAGGGACACTCATGCAAATCTTGTTATGACAAACCCAAATTGATCGCCATTGATCTATTCGATTTACTCTGCAAACAAACCATGACTGGGCATGGATGATGCACAACCCCTTCAAGGAATGAACCTGTCCTGGGATCCTACCACCTCCGGTGCCGGCACAGGATCCGGAATATTGACCAGATCCTCCGGAAGACCATCAGGGCGTTTGTCCAAGCCTGTCTCCTCAGGAATGCGCAGTGGGTGCGAGATTAGATGTTGGCAGGTTGGGAGTTTAACCATCGAAGGTGTTGAGGCCACTGTGTTAACTGGTTGTGTTGACTGCATGTGGGTCTTGGAGATTACGGAATATGCCTCAATTTTTGGCAAAGACACATCCAATTGTCATTTATAATCAGGGCTGGGTGGGCATGAAGCACTCAACCAAGTTTCTCCAAGATCAGTTTCCTGCAGATCCCGTAGGCTCTCTGCCTTCATGTGCATCCTTTTGTCTTCAACAATGATGAAATACTCCTCGACTCGATCGTCATACTTCCAAGTCCTCTAGTCGAGGCAATATGAGATCCAAAAAAGACTTGAGGTTTGAGATGGTTGTGCATGAGCAAGAATGGGACTGTTGAACCCAAAACCATCATTTGAGTCCCATAAGTCTTTCGACCAGGTTGGTCTAGCCTTATCAGCGACTCTGGGAATTTGCGGCAATAGCTGATCATCTGCTTGATTGTCTGGGCAGACCAAAGGCCCGACTTTTTCATGGCCTCGGCCGTCATCCATCGGCCATGCACCTCAGACTGGCGTGATTCAAGGCGCTCCCTGATCAGCTTGCACTTTTGCACAAAGTCTGCCTTGCGGCGCAGGCGATGTGGGTGGACGGAACGCATGGGTCGACTGTGCTCCATTCAAGTGTGAAGCACCACTGGAACATTTGAGGAATCAACAACAGCGCATGGCTCGCCTTGATGCGCTTGTAGCTTGACCGATCCACTCCATGCTTGGCCAAGCACTCCAAAAGTGCCATCTCTAGGACTTCCCTAGACTCCCCACCCTCCTTGTACTGTTCCACAATCTTGGTATCAACGTTGATTCGACCTGATGGTTTCTTTTCGCACATCCTTCGACACCGCATCCTCAATTCATCCGTCGTGATGTGCACCTTAGATATACTGTATTTAAACTTGTTCCATGGGAACACTCTGGAGGTAAAACTATAATACATCACAAAAAGAAAGTTTTAGTCTAAAGCTTTCTAAGGAACGCGTTTACCACTTGGTGTTGTCACCCACTCATCATCATCATCATCCGAAGCTTCTTGTTCAGTAGGTGTCAAAGGTTGTTCTTCTCGGGGTGGGGGGGGCTGGGGCGGTGGGCCTGGTTTCCTCGACAGTAGGCCCTGAAGGTTTCGTCTCAGCCTTTCCATTCATTTTGGATTCCATTTCAGAAACACGGTCAAGTGTTGATTGCAGAAGCTGTGCTATCTTGTTTTGAGATCTCTCTAGTTCTTCAGCTTCCTTCAGGTCTCTCTTTGTTTTTTCTTCGCTCTCCTTACACTTGGCTTCCAAAGCTGCAATCTTAATCAACAAAGCCTCGTTCTTCTCCTTCTCAGCTTGCACCAAAGCCGCCTGTGTCGGGTCCTGTATATGGGAGGTGCGCATGTTAGTGACCAACCCTCCAAAAAGATCCATAATTGGTGCACATTGCAACACACGGCACGCCGCCTGAAAGGTAATGTGTTCAAAAGAAGCTGGAGGTCGACGCGAAACATACGTAGGAGTAGCTTGGGGCACAATGGATGATTGCATCTCCTAAGAGCGGACGCCACATGGGTACGGTATAGTATACATATAGCAAAGAAACCTCTATATACAGTTATATACACATGTGTTTTCACCAGGAAGCCCCCGGGATGGTTGATGCTCCAGGTGATGCAAATCCGGAAGGCAGTTCACCATCCAGCACCGTGTCTGCCTGATAGCTGTTAGGTCGAAGAGCAAAAAACTCCAACCCATTCAAGACCTCTTGAGCTACAGCTCCTGTGACCCGTGACGTTGCCAAGAAACAAGTCCCGCTGTTGCAGCCGGCGCATGCTTTGGCGATGCAGGTGGCTCCATCTTCACCACCACATTTCCATGGCCAGGAGCCTCAGCATTTCACGGCTGGAGAAGATGATTGAAAGCATGTCATGCAAAAATGATGCATGTTGAACAGTGTCACACCAGAATATCAACAGCCCAGGGGTGCATTCAACCCTCAACTCAATATATCGATCCTTATGACTCTCCTCATTCTGGTGCTGTTGGATGCGTCCAAGAAACCTGAGCCTGATTTGTTTGCATCACCTCCACCATCAGCTTAGTCATCTGGACAGGGTTCGGGCGAAGGTGTTTCAGTGAAACTGTATACGAGAAAGATGCGCAGTGGCTGCACGTGTTGAGGTCCCAATAGGGCTGGAAAGAAGAACCGCTTTCACTTCAAACATGGTAAGATCAAGAACCCATCCCTGGCCTTCTCATAGTCAATCGTTTGCAGGGAAAGGCCAGCAGCTCGAGCTGCAGCTTGAACGCCTTCCTCTAACGTGCGACAGCTCCACCCCGCGGATGGCATAGAGCTTACCAAAGAGTCATGTGACATCCTTCCTTGCAGCTACCTGTCTTTGTAAGATCCCCGAATGGCTGAAACACAAAACATCACAAAACCCATCGTATGCACATGCGATCCATGCAAGGCTACCCATGCATAAAATGTTCCCATGGGCCGCTCAGGTAGGTCCGTTGTTTTCCTCAGAGGTACTCATGGATCAAACCACAGTTCAAATTGCGGGCAGCTTGCTGGGCAGAGTGCAACACTCCCAATCCATCCGTCATGCATAAGTTTTGGATGGTTTTGATTCACCAATGCTAAGTTTTGATGTTTTCTTGATGACTCCCTTGAAGGCCCCAAAATGTCTAGTTTGTTTACGCAAATATTACGTAATTTTTGCGCAAGTCGAACGTAATCGAACGTTATTTGAACGTAATTTGAACGTAATCCGAACGCTTTACGGTTTTTTCACGTCCACAGAACGGTTATTTACGTCCAAGTACGGATCTGACAATTTCACTCAAACATGCCCTTATGAAGATTTCTATCCGCTTTTGGGTGACTTCAGTAAATCTTGACCTGGACAGGGAGTGTTCATTGCACTGCAAGCCCTGAAGTGTGGTGGGCTCCTCAGCCCTCAGAATTATGACCAACTTCTGCATGTCGGCGTTGGTCCAACTTATGGAGAATCTCAAAAGGTTTTGGGAAAACCATCAGCCAGTCATGGGGAACACGCAAATGTTTGTTTCCCCGTAAGTATTTCAGTGCTGGGATCAGATTGGCCTCTGGCCAAGTGGCCCAAGGAAGCAATTGAAACGCCCTGGGAGCACTAATTGAAGTTCGGTCCACTTCAGCAACCTCAGGCATGCCCTCACCCCCCTGTGACTAACCCAGGGCATAGCTCTCGAACTTTGTCAGCAAAAGCCACTGGGTAGATCCTTGGTGGCTTTAGACATATTGAGGAACGAGTTATGACAATTTGCAACAACCATTGCGCATGAAACAGGATAAGGTGGATAAGGTCAGGGCTGTGATGTTTTGAGATCTCGAGTGCCCGAGTAGGACACCTTCCCTGTAGTCTTGTTGACTGTCTTCTTGACCGTTTGGATCTTCGGTTTGGGCTGAAGCTTGTGGCGGTAAGGACCCTTATCCAAATGCCCAAACTTCTGGTTGTTGCACCACCCAACCTGTGGTTTGGCCGAGGGAGCTCCGTAGTGGCCCATCCACCACTTGATGCGGTATACCTGGGCTGCCAGAAGCTTGGACGCTTGAAAGGGGCGTGTGGAAAGCAGGATGTGAGTAGGCGACCTGGTACAGGTTTGCTTTGCGATATGATGGACACTCATTTTTGGAATCGACTAAAGGTGGAACCCTCTGAATCTATCACATCAACTGTTCTTGAACATGGGCTGCACCTGGGGTATCCCTTTCATCTCCTTACAGAAAAGGATACGAAAAACTGTCCAAATGTTTTTTGGCTCTCGTGTCCTTTCCGTGTAAAGGCTTGACTGGTAATTTTCAACTTTAGGTTCACCTGGGGACCCATGCCATTGTTTAGAAATCTAAAGGAAATTCACCCAGCTCTAAAACTGAAACGAAGTGGAAAATTGCCAGGCTGGACATGAGGACTGACAATGGGTGACCATTGGAATCTTAAAGTCCCGTGACCATCCGACAAACACCGTCTCAGGAAAGATAATCCCGCACGAAATCCTATTTGTTTGTGGTATTTGCCACGCTGCTTTGGTCACGCTGGTGAGCCACTGCATCCTGCAGTATTCAATCATAATGCTGGAGCTTGGCTGCTCCACAAGGTATGTCCCGCCACAGCACACCGTCAAACACAGGAGGAGCACACACCTCGGTTTTGAAAGGTACTTGTCAATACCCCATGGTATTGCCCTATATAAAATACATGAGATTCCATTTTATGAGTAGGGAGGTTCCGAACGAAGAACTTTTTGCGCGCAACAAAGGATCCGTGATACCATAGCGTTGGCGAGGGATATATAGCGTTTGCTGCAATCACCCTCTGGGTTAAGGAGGCTTCGGCATGAGGTGAACGCGTTGATCCTCACCCAGCTACTGCAGACTGTTCCCCACACCGTCGCAAAGGCCGACTCTCTGCAGGAAAGAATCAAATGAATGTATAACCTTAGCCGAGGGTTTTGCAGAGATTGGATGAAATCAAGACTGCAGAGTTCACCATTACTTTCATTCGCAGTTTTGGCCTGACCCTGACATGCACAAACATTCTTATTTCATCAGGTGTGTAACCCCAATCCTGCGTTGGAGAGGATGTCCATGGGGTTTTGGCCATCAGGATTGTCAAAGTAGTTCCAGTCGATGCCAACAGCATTCTTGGAATCTGCCCTAACGGCTTTCCAAACATTTCCCTCTCCTGCGAAGAACTCCAGGAACGTCAGCTCCTGGAGTGGGCTCGGATCTTTTCTTGGCAGGTGGGTGGGTGGGTGGGTGGATGGAACAGGGACTGTAACAAGGATGCAACACAGGTCCACTCTTATAGCACAGCAGTTATATTAACTTAGATCGATGCGCATGTTTGCGGGCTCCGGAAATCGCGGAAGGTTGGCCGAGAAAGCGGTGAGGATGACCAACATAATGAAAGCCTCAATTCAGTTAAGTCTGAATTTGGTTTTTATTGCTTTTGTTGTTCTATTGCTGCATGCATGGAAAGCACATGGTAGCAACTTGACTACAAAGACCTTGAGCTCAGCTAGGCAGCCTTTGGAGCTCCCATGCAAGCCAGGCGCTTCACCACCATCCCGATGTTGTCCCTCCCCGTCACCATGGCGATCGGTGATGTTCTAGTCAAAAGCTTCTGTAGAGTGGTCCCATGGTGAAGCAACCCTGTATTGGTTGAGTGCGTATTTTCGGCTTGCAATGCAGCATGAGTTTCTGAACAAGCTATTTTGAGACCTGCGCAAGATGGCCCCTCGATCCTTTGCGATGGCACAAGCAAAGAGCGAATAGTTGATCATTCGTGTTCGGTTCAATTGACTGAATAAACGGATCATGAATAAACAAAAGAAAAAACACATTCCATTTGTTTGAAGATGAATCATTCAGCAATGAAAAGCTGTCTTTCAGAGGGCCCATCTCCATGACTGCATGCATTAAAGTTCAATAGAAGACACCGTTGTCAACTAGCCCATCTCTTGAAGCACCCCTGAAAGTAAGCGAGCCAAGGTGGCCTTGTTTGTGGGAAGATTCTGCCGGCCCCTTCAAAGAGTTGCACGCGCACTTGCCAATCCGCCGGACGACCTTCCGCCCAGGCCCAGGCATCGGGACCAATCGAAAGACCTGGCGTGAGACCAAGCGTGCAAGGGGTAGATGCAGGGAATGGGCCGGTGGCATACACATCAACTATTTGGCAATGTGGCCATCAAACAAAGTGGTTTCCAATTATATTAGAATGACCATTGAAAGGTCATAGGTTGAGCCATTGGAATTTCCAGAAGGCACTGTGAAAGTGTGCTTCTCTTTTGTTTTGTCCGATGACCGGGCGTCTACTGCATGGTCGGTGTTCTCGACCAATCCAACTTTTGCTAATTGAGTTCAAAATGGCGACCCCACTTTGATATGCGCTCAACGGTCACCTCCTGCCCCAATGAACTTGAAGAATGCTCCCAAAGTGGCGTGCTTTAGATCCAAAAAATATGCAACACTCTAATCCGTGAAATAACGAGACCAAACTGCTGCTGCTGCCCAATGGGGATTATGGAGAAACTACCGCTGTCAGCATATAACCCCAATCCACTCATGGCAAGCTACCTTGAGATTCGGACCTCTTGCGAATCATGTTCGTTCACCTCACTAGCATGTTGGCCAACAGTAGCTTGAAACATCATAAATTCCATCAAAGCATTGAAACATTAGACCTGCAGAACCTCTACTTTTCGTCTTCCTGATTCTGGCAGCGCCAGAGTGGACAACATGGCTGTGGCTATCAGCTTGAGGCTTCCTCGGGATTGGCCAAAAGACCCTTCCACTCACTAACGGCTGCATCGTGCGAGGTCTTCAAGATCCTGGCCCGCATCTTCAACGCATCGCCGCTGGGATCAGGCCGGTCCATGCTCTCAAACGTCTTCACCTGAGCTTCCGTAGAGCGGAGAAGTCAAAAAGGTTATATAGGTCTAAATCAATTACATCAAGCCCCCACCCACCTATTGATATGATTATGGCCACCGGATACCGATTTGGTCATTTCTTGCATCACTGCCCCAACCAAACATGACATGAGCCATGTCTTTTGAGACACACTCTCGGTTGCAATCTAGAAACCCACTGCTCAGCAAGATAGATGTTGGTGTAGGCGCAGGGGGTCTCGCAAGAGAAGTACTGAACTTGTGCCTTGCCCTTGCCCTGCGCCTTGCGGTTTGGAAGCAAGTTCCTCTCAGCCTTGATGCCCACAGACTTCCTGGACCAGTAGATGCATAGGTCCAAAGCCTTTTTCACCCGACTCCTCTGAAAGGTTGGGTGCTGGCAATGGGTCTTCTTGCACTCCTGGAGAATTCCAAAGACAGAATCCTTCAGGGCTGCATCAACAGGAACCGGTGCTTCCCCCCTTCTTTGGCCGCTAGCCCTTGACTTTGGCGCTGCTTTTGCTTTTCCCTTTGCCTTTGCCTTTGCAGCAGATTCCTTTCTGGGCTTCCTGGATCCTTTGGTATCATCATCATCTGCTTCCTCCTTTGTCTTCGGAGCTTTCCTCTTCTTATTGCTTTTGCTGCCCTGACCATCTGGCAGCAAATCCTCCGGCTTCTTCGACTTTGGCTTCGGCTTTGGGGCGGGCTTCTCCGGGGACTCCTTCTCCTTCTTTGTCTTCTTTTGCTTCTTCTTCTTGCCCTGACTCTTAACCTCCTGGTTTGTCTCTGTGTCTTCATTCTTCGACTCTGGTGCCCCAATGGCAGCAGGAACAGCCTCAAAGCTGTTTGCTTTCGCCGATTTCATTTTTCTCAATCGCTTCAACCCCCTGCTTCGCGTTGCAGAAGGCGAAGGCTTCACATCATCATCGCTGGCAGCGACCTCGCCAGCTTTGGCCTTGACCTTGGCTTTGTTGCTCTTGCGCCCTTCAACCTTCTCTGCTGCTGATCGGCCTTTATTCTTCTTGACAGCATTTTCTTTCTCAGATTGTTTCTGTTCCTTGGCCATCTTCTTGGCATCTTTCTTCTTTTGCTTCTCTTCTGCCCTGTCTTTCTTCAAGCGGAATTGCTTCCGCCGAGTGATCACTTCATGATCCGGTATCGTAAACCCATCCCGTCCAGTCTCTTTCACCTGAGGGCACTAAACCACATATAACACAAAAACCATTTGGGGAACATGCCAAACATTGTTAAACAATAAATGCATATGAGGCCAATGGTTTCGCTCCAAAACCCTTGCCTCCTGCTCCCGTGTTTGGTCGCATGCATCCAAAGCCAACAAGGTTTGCAAGGCCACATCCGTGTTAAGTAGATGAGACGGGGAGCATGGCAGCTGCGTCTCATCAACAGGGGAAGCCGAAGGAGCTTGGGAATCTGATAGCACGGTTGTCACCTCAGGCATTGCCATCCCCAATGATGTGCCGGATGAAGATACGCCTGAAATCAGCAAGGAGGCTCACAGCAGTGTTTGCGCATGGGCTTTGGGAGTCGATCCATATGTTTGTTTCCTGGATGGGTGACCTTGAGCCCCCTCATAATGGGATCCAAAAAGTGCCGCGATACGATATATCTACGAGGCACACTTCTTCTCATTGGCCAGCAAGCTTTGAGCAGCTTGGCTAGGTCGATCTCGTTCATTCTGCCTTGGCTGATTAACCAGGTATATCATTTATATATAATGTTTATGTCCCTGGTTGCACCATGATAGACAGGAAAAAATGCACATGCCGTTTGTTCCAAAATGCATCATGTACTTCTTCACTGCTTGCATGATCATGTTCATGTCGAGCGGAGCTTTGGTAGTGGCTGGTGCCTTCGAGGGGTGATTCTCTGCCTCCTCATCAGATGAGATGTCCACAAGGTCCTGACAGGGTAAATGGGTCGAGTGGGTCGAGAGCATGTTGGAATGTTTTGAAAGTTAATGGACAAGGTTTGATTTTGTCTTTGGGCTTTCTTATCAGGTCCTGCACCGGCTTAGGACTAGGAGGTGGAGGAAGTGGCACCGCCGTAGGTTCCCCATGTTGAATCGATTGGCTACTGGAGCGGCATGGAGTTGGCAAGGGCGTTACCAAATCACTGACAGCACCCGTGTCACCTTGCTTCGGCGGCGCAGGTTGCGATGAAGAACCCTTTGCAATCTTATCCTGCTTGGGGCTAAGGATCTGCGGCTCAGATGGGGTTGGCAAAGGGTGAGGTGGAAGATTGTCCTCCATCTTCTTGAGAATGTCCTCCATCTCATTCTCAAAATGTGCAGCCGGAGTATCATGTTGGGAATCCGGAAACTCCAATCGTTGGCTAAGAATTTTTTTCTTCATATGGGACTTCCGCCAACATAGATTCACGAGATTCAGATGGTCCAGCTGCAGGGGCATCGTGTCCACGGGCCACTGCTGGCTTCCAATCCTCCAAAGCGGTGGGTACGAATGTCATAAAAAGAAATGATCGACTAACATAAGTTCAGGACCAACTTCAAACACTTTCCCGGAGTGATGGATTGCGCGGGTGGCTGCTTGTGTTGACCATGCATGACATATAAACATTCAAAGTTTTCTGGAAAGCGCACACGAATGGAAAACACAATGAAAGTTAGCATTGACAGCCCTTTTGAATCCTTTCGACATTTGTTGCCCCACACAAGTCCGCCTCACAGTCAAAGCCCATGCAGCCCACAAGGAGTTGGATGATGGAATCCTGGCGCAATCCACTGAAGGAGACACATGGGACGGGGCTGTAAGATGGCGCAGGGCTGTGATCATTTCCAAACACAACCACCAATCAGTGATGATGCCTTGAAAGGCCTGTCTCACTCAAACAGACTTGCTTTGATTTCTTGCAATTGCGGTCCTGAGGGGGAAGAGGTCGGTATGTGTACCTCTTGAGCTTCTGGATCATGCGTCGCATAGCCCACGCTTCTTGGTAAGCTTGCTGCACAGTACGGCTCAATTTGGCTATTTGGTAGAACTCCTCCACAGCTGCAATCAGCTTTTCAACTGGGGGGAGAAGTAGGTCATTTGACCCCATCAGGAAAGCCAAGGGCTTTATCACGCATGCATTGACCTTCAAGTCTTCAGCAGTGCCCTGCACGTATCCGCTTTCCCCCTTACCTGTCTCAGCACTGAAACTCAAGCAAAGATTTTTGCCAGAGCGGATGCGTTCGCGGACCTCAGCATCATTGTCCCATTGAATTGGAATAGTTTCCAGTCCATATGTTCCGACCACACTTCTTGGAGAGGGACCTGGGGAGCTGCCTCGTGACTCCGACATGGCTTTTGCCAGTCAGCTTACACACCAAGCCAAACTTTCTGCGCAGGAGTGGAGATGTGAGTCGTGAGGATCCGAGCAGTGTCACCGGTTCCATGCACCCGTGCAACATCAACACCAAATCAATTCATGATCCAATCAGTGAGCCATGGTATGTTCACATGGAAAAACAGTGAATTAGATCATCGATCATAACCACACAATAGCGGGAATAAAACAAGCCAGGCGTACTGATCCTGAACATCAGCTGGACCCACCATTGCACAGCAATTTGCCATGCAAAGCATGGTGGTGTGAAAAAGTCACATGCACATTGATAATACTATGCGTGTTCAATGGAGTATCCAAAACAGTATGGACGGCAAACAAATAGGAGGCTTAGCATGATAC